AGCTTTAATCTACAGCTCGTTTATCAGTCTCAACTTCACAGAAGTGGAAAAACTCTCTGGAATGCTCCTTTTTTTAAATGCTGTTATTGAGAAATCTCACTAATCGAGTGGTAAACAATCATAAACTAACTCTGTCGCTGCTGTTCGTCCCAGCTTTGATGTTTTTTTATTAGGTTTTTTTTAACAAGCCGTCTCTCTTGAGAGCAGAAAGAATGTCCTTGATGTGGAAGTGGGACTGGATTAATATTGTTCTGATTCCACCGAGGTGTAGCGTACCTGTCAAATCCTGGGGCCTCAGAGTAATGGTAACATAAACACCGGCGTTCCCAGAAGACTCCGGCTCTCACGTCTCCATGGCTCGCACATATAAACACACTGATCTCCAGTTTTAGCCGACAGTAGTTCAGCTGAGACCCAGTTCTCTATTTCCACCGAAATACCTACTTTCTTTATTAGAAAAAATAAGAAAAAGAAAGAAAAGAGGAAAGACTGAGACCCAGTTCTCCTTTCCACCCTTATTAAACCAAAATATCTACTTTCTTTATTAAACAAAAAAAAGAGGAAAGACTTTGAGGTTTAAGTGAAATGCCGACATGTGAGATGACGATAGAAAAACAGAACTTTTTGTAAAGGGCGGCCATCCCTGTTTGATTTGGCTCTGGACGAGGCGCCAACAGAGAGGGAGAAAGACGATGTGTCATAACTCGCTTAAAAGTTGTAGTAACTCAGATCTCAGAGATGGAGCCGACACGGGTAATAAAAAAGAAACAAAAACCCAGAACATGATACGTTAAGTCTGACCGGCGTTTATCCAGGGCTCTGTCAGGCGGGTCCCTAATGCCAGACTCTTCTCTTTGCAGGGATTTGAAACCTGAAAACATCCTCCTGGATGACCGTGGTATGTATCTCTGTTTTCTGTTTCTGTTTTGCTCGCCATCTTTCATTGGCTGAATGACATATCTCCCATCTTCTGAGTCCCCATCAACACTTGGCCTGTCCCGATCCAGTCTTTTTACAAAGTCCGATCCCACACGAGCATTAGCATTAGCATTAGCATCTCCTGACCCACAGGTCTGTGTCCTAACCATTAAATGGTTATCAGAGTAAATCCCTGTTCAACGTGAGTCTGACAACTAAGTAAGTAGATAAATAACTTTAAACTTTAACACATGCTCTGATAGGCCGGGATCGGGATCAGATCGGAAGTGAAAAAAGCTGGATCAGGACATCCCTAATCAGCACTGTCATATCCAAATGTCCACATTTCTCTTTTTCTTGTGTAATTTTGCAGCAGCCTGTGTTCGAACCTGGCTCTGCTGACGTCTGGTTGAGATTTGGAACTTGTTTCACTTAAAAAAAAACAGCTTTTTTTTTATTTAAAGGACACATCCGGATCTCAGACTTGGGCCTTGCCGTTCAGATCCCTGAAGGGGGGACGATACGAGGGAGAGTCGGCACCGTCGGATACATGGGTGAGAATCCGCCTTCTGTTCCTCATCTTTTTTATGAACCGTGACTAAGCCTGTCCCGATCTGATATCTGGATCCGATATCTGGATCGGATCAGCCGCCGATATTTGCAAAAAAATGCGAATCGGCCAGCAGGAGAAAATGCAGATCCAGACTCCAAATCCAGTTTTGTTTAATAGTCCGATCCCACACCAGCATTAGCATTAGCATTAGCATCTCCTGACCCACAGGTCTGTGTCCTAACCACTAAGTAGCTGGATCGTGACATCCCTCTGGGATTATTAAGGTATTTCTGATTCTGAGACTCTTTAATGAAACGAAACGTCCCTAATCTGTTTGCAGTGCATTTAATGGAAGTGAACTCTTTATTGGTAAATATTGATGATTTAGATTTCAAACATGTTTTATAATGACTCTATATCACCCATATTCTGAACTCATGACAATAAGAGATCAGAACTGTAATTTTATAGTTTATAATGTTACATTTTGGGGCTTTTGTTTTTATTCTTGTGGTATCGAAACTGGTATCGAGTATCGAGTATTTTCCTGAGTATTGGTATGGAGTTGAATTCAATTCAATTCAATTCAATTTTATTTATATAGCGTCACATCACAACAACAGTTGTCTCACAGCTTTCCAAACAGAGCAGGTCAGACCCTACTATGAAGTTAATTACAGAAACCCAACAATTCCCATTTTAGTATCGTGACAACATTGGTTGAGACACAGGCTGGGATCGGTATCGGATCAGAAGTGAAAACAGCTTGAAAAAAGCTCCCTAACCGAGATCAGCTTTTTCCTCCACGGGGGTCTCAGCTCTCCCTGGTTTCCCCGGTTTCCTCTGACCTCTGACCCCTGGTTCTCAGCGCCGGAGGTGATCCAGAGCGAGAGCTACACCTTCAGCCCGGACTGGTGGGGGCTGGGCTGCCTGATCTTCGAGATGATCCAGGGCCAGTCGCCCTTCCGCAGGCGCAAGGAGCGCGTGAAGCGGGAGGAGGTGGACCGCCGCGTACGCGAGGACCCGGAGGAATACTCAGAGAAGTTCACCGAGGAGGCCAAGGACATCTGCAGACAGGTGAGGGGGGGGGGGGGTTCTGCCATGTTTGATGAGACTAGGGTTGTCAAAAGTTTCGATACTCAAAAAAGTATCGATACTAAAACTCTCTCTCTGATTAATTGATTTATTTGCGTTGTTTATGATCATTAACTTGACGTTAGCCATGAATTGCTAGCTGCGGCTAATGGCTAATAATAACACGCCAACATTAATGAAGTCCGTCTGGCTGACGACTCCGTCCACATCCAAGTCGGCCATTTTGATTAGGTCACCAACAAGATTAAATTGGGAAATTAATCTTGCAAACACTGAATTAAACTCTATACATAATATTATGTTAAAATAGTGGATGTTAAATAGGTTTGTACAATAAGTCCAAACAAGTTTAACCAAAAAATATTTATTTCTCACAATTATGAAAGGTGGAGGGTTAGGGTTAGGTTTGGGGTTAGGATTAGGGTTAGGGTCATTAATGTGGGCCACCACATCACCACCATAGCATCAGTAATAAGTTTTAAACGAAAGACAGTAACCTGTCAAAATTCAGTTAAATTTTGGGTTCTTTGTTTTTATCCTTGTGGTATCGAAAATGGTATCGAGTATCGAATATTTTCCTGAGTATCGGTATCCAGTTGAACATTTTAGTATCGTGACAACCCTAGTTGAGACGGACCTTGTGGTTTGTCTGCTTTCAATAAAAACAACATATAGTTTTCTTATCATAGTAAAGAATACGCGCACCAGCACACTGAGACTTTTTTGCTCCTAATTCAAACCTGAGGACTTTCCCTCAGGTCTGCTTTTCTCTCCCCCGACGTGGCTCCTTTTGTTTTTCATGATTTCTCTGAGCTGAAACAGCCTGTCCGAGCTCTGCCGCCATCGCTTTATTGCTTTTCCTTTGTATTTACATTTGAATTACCAGCTGGATTAAACACAGACACATGCTGTTTACTTTTTTTAAGGTTTTACAGGAGCTCCTTTTTAACGGACTGACATAATGCGCGTAACCTTTCTTGGTCCAGTAGCAAAGAGGAACTTCGGAAATCCACTCTGCGTTTATTTTGAGGCTTTTATCCAAAGGAAAAATTAGAGTCCACAAACTTGATATGATTTGTGGGTTTTTAGCCCAAAAAATGTGTCGGCCAAAGTGGCTAATACTGTAGATCTGGCTGTTGTTGTGTTGTTGGTCTGTAGTGGAATCACATGTCCGCTCTCGGCTGTTTTCACAGAGAGACGAAAACCTCTGATGTGAACGTGTGTGTGGGGCTTGTTTAGACGCCTGAATCCTGTTCTCAGATTAAAGTTTTGAAAGCAGCTCTAAACACAAGCTGGTAAAAGTTTACGCAGCGAAAGAAAAACACTTGGACTCCGTAACTTAGTTTTTTCTTTTTTCCGTTTTGGTGGATGAGCTAATGGGTTTTTATCAGAGCTGGGTTTTTGCTAAAAGCAAATCCCCCCCCCCACCCCCACCTCTTCTGTTTGTGGAGTCAATGATCATGAGAGCAAAGGAAGTTAAATTAAACAGAATTTCAGATTTTTTTTTCTTTTTTTCTTTCTTTCTTTCTGTCTTTTTTTTTGCTCTAAAACCATAACTGTGAATTACAAAGACGCCCGAATGCTCCATTCAGCAGATCCACCTTAAATGTTCTCGGTTTCCTCTGTTTGACATGAAAGTATCGATCAGTCTTCAGAGGTTGTCGGCGCTTTCACAACTTTTGCCCTCGTTTGTTTCCTCGTTTGCTTCCTCCGTGCGACACAGTTTCTGCTGCTGAGCTCCTCGTATTCAGATTTGTTTGTGTGTCTGTCTGTGTGTGTGTGTGTGTGTGTGTGTGTGTCTCTGTGTGTGTCTGTGTGTATGTCTCTGTGTTTGTGTGTCTGTGTGTATGTCTGCCTCTGTGTGTCTGTGTGTGTCTCTGTGTGTGTGACTCTGTGTTTGTGTCTCTGTGTATGTGTCCCTGTGTGTGTGTGTGTGTGTCTCTGTGTATGTGTGTGTGTCTCTGTGTATGTGTGTGTGTCTGTTGATGTGTATGTGTGTCTCTGTGTGTGTGTGTGTCTGTGTGTGTGTGTGTGTCAGTGGATGTGTGTGTGAATCTGTGTTTGTGTCTCTCTGTGTGTGTCTGTGTGTGTGTGTGTGTCAGTGGATGTGTGTGTGACTCTGTGTTTGTGTCTCTCTGTGTGTGTCTGTGTGTGTGTGTGTGTGTGTGTGTGTGTGTGTTTGTCTCTGTGTGCGTGTGTCTCTGTGGATGTGTGTTTGTGTGTGTCTGTGGATGTGTGTGTGTGTGTGTGTGTGTGTGTGTTTGTGTCTATGTGTGTGTGTGTCGCAGTGGAACATTTTGACCCCCGGTTCTGTGATTTAACGGCTCCCCGGGGAGAGGAAAGTCAGGGGAACGGGGGGGAAGACGGGTTTCGGCATGAATAGATAAACGATAATAAAGAAAAGGGGAGAATGCGGTCGGGGAAAGGGCTGGAAACGGCCTCTTCTGGGCCACTGAGGCGGCCATTACCCAAAAATAGCCGCGCGATACGAGTGGTCCAGAGCCTCTGACCGGCTCAAAGACTAACGTCAGAGTTTCGGACTGTTGGCCGTGAAGGATCCGGGTGACAACACACACACACCCTGTGCGGGTTTGTTGGGAGTCAAAGCACCAAAAAGCGCCGACTCGGCAATCCTGCCACACGGAGGCGAATCGTTTAACAGATCGTGGGAGGATTACAACCCGAATTTGTCTTTGTGCTGAATTAAAAGGATTATTTTTTTTAGGATTCTCTGGGTTTTATCCAGCATCCCAGTTCTGGGAGCCCTGATTCGTCCGTGGAGAGTTTTAATTTTATTCTATTCTTTCCCCGTCTCAGCTTCTGACCAAGGACCCCAAGGAGAGGCTGGGGTGCAAGGGATGCGGGGCCATCGAGGTCAAACAGCACCCCATCTTCAGAAACATCAACTTCAAACGGCTAGAGGCCAACATGCAGGACCCTCCCTTCACCCCCGATGTAAGAGACACACAAACACACACACACACACACACACACACACACACACACACACACACACACACACACACACTGACACTTACACACACACACACACATGGCCAAATACATGAAAAATAAACAGGGAATCAACAACAAAAAAAGACGTTTTCGTTTGAAATCCATCCGCCCTCCATGTTATCCTGCAGTTTGCAGATTTGAATTCCAAATATGACGCGAGGCTACGAAAAAATATTCAAATTTAGTCTGAAATGTTCATGACTTTTCAATAAGTTTATCGCATCTGATCTGTGTTCAGTGTCAGATATTTGGGCCATTGTGTCACATGAAAATAAAAAGAGATGTGACATATTAATCTTCTCTTTTCCATTAACTATTATATACACATCACTCAGTGACATCATCATAACACATCATAACACACCCTGGTACAAAAA